CGATGAAAAACTAAATACAAGCCATATCGGGATAGGTGGCGACAAAAAACCTATATTTGTAGTCGAACATTTGACCCCGGAGCTGAAGAAAATCCACGCACTTGCCAGAGCGACAGCAAAGAAATTAAAATACAAATTTGTCTGGATTAAAAATGGTCGTGTCTTTTTAAGAAAAACCGATAATTCTGAACATATTGTCGTGCGTAACATCGAGCAGCTCGAAGAATTACAATAGTGAAGTGCTTATCTGTCTAGTCTCTTATCGAAATTCTGTAACATACGATACCTTAAATATATATTACCAAAACGTAAGGGGGATTCGTAGTAAAACGCGCGATGTAAAACTTAACATACTATGTAATGACTTCGACATCGTAATTTTTACAGAAACTTGGCTTAATGACGGCGTGTTCGATAGTGAGTTTATTGATGATCGCTATACGGTATACAGGAGAGATAGGGAGCAATTAGACCGAACAGAATCAAAAAAATGGGGGGGGGGGGGGTGTAATGATAGCCGTTAAAAATACCTTAAAATCAAGCCGTTGCCTGCATTGGGAGAGTAACTGCGAAGATCTATGGATTACGGTTGATATAATTATAGATGGTAAACCAAGTCATGTTGCAATCTGCGTAGTATACTTGGCACCTCCGATAAATAGCAATGTGCTAAGTGAATTTTTAGAAAATGCGTCCAAAGCTATTAATACAAATGAATACGTCATGCTAACGGGGGATTTCAATATTAGTAGTATTTCTTGGTCGAAAGTACCGGAATTAAATTGTCTACACCCCTTTAGTAGTTCTAACTTAGCGTCTACTTTTGTTGATTTTATCGAGGAACATAATTTAAAACAATTCAATTCAATAGTTAACGCAAATGGCAGGATGCTTGATTTGGTTCTTTCAAATCATACCCATGTGTCAGTTAGCCAAAACCTCAATCCAATAAGCATAATCGATAATCATCATCCGTCACTTAACCTAGAGCTCGATTTCTTGAAGATTAATACGATCAATGCACAGCTCAATGAAAGGTACAACTTCTTTAAAGCAGATTATGAGGCCATTAAGAACGAATTAGATGGTACAAAATGGTTAGAACTCTTACTAAATTGCGATTCAGTAAACTCAATGCTTAATGTATTTTATCATAAATTAAAATCAATAATCGAAAAACATGTGCCAAAGACTAAGCCTAGAAGTACAAAGTTTCCCTTATGGTATAATAATAAATTAATTTCTATGTTAAAATTTAAAAATAAATATCGAGTAAAAAGTAGAATTTACAATAACCCTCTAGACATACTCAAATTTAAATCACTAAGGTTTAGTTGTAATAAATTAATTAAAACAAGTTATAATAATTATATTGAATATTTTTGGACACACTTAAAAAACGTAAAAAAACCATCAAACACGTACCCAGCCAGAATGGTACTAAACAGTAAAGTTGCTACCGATGGCCCAGAAGTGTGCAATCTCTTTGCTGAATCCTTTGCTTCCGTTTACGAGACTAGAGACCTACCCTGCACAAACATTCCCCTACAAACAGTTACTGAAAACAATCTTTGTTTAATAAACATCAATGTTAAGGAAGTAATAAAAAAAAATAAAAAGACTTGACGCAAAGAAAGGTGCTGGACCCGACGATCTTCCTCCTTCGTTTATTAAGAAGTGTGCTAAAGCGTTGTCTTTGCCTATCTGTATTATCTTTAATAGATCCCTCAGTACCGGAGTCTTCCCAGATATGTGGAAACTTGCAAGAATAGTGCCTGTGTACAAAAAAGGGAATCGAGATAATATTGCCAACTACAGACCCATATCAATATTATCAGTTGTCTCTAAGATCTTCGAGTCCTTGATCTCGCCTATATTGTCACGCCACGTCCGCCACGCTATCTCAGACAACCAACACGGATTTATGACATCTCGATCTACTGTCACAAACCTTTCATGTTTTATGAATTATATAACACCCTACGTCGACTCACGTCAACAAGTAGATGCTATCTATACTGATTTCTCCAAAGCTTTCGACAGGGTTAATCACAAGTTGTTGATAGCGAAACTATCATCGTTTGGAATCGGAGGACCATTACTTTCGTGGTTTGCTTCATATTTAAAGAACAGATTTTCATACGTAGTGATCAGAGGCCACTATTCTCAAAAATATGAGTGCACTTCGGGAGTACCACAGTACACTATTATTTAATATTTTCGTAAATGATGTAACTAATTGTGTACATAATTCAAAATGTTTCATCTTTGCGGACGATCTGAAACTCGCAAAAGCAATTCTTAACGATCATGATGCACAATCTCTACAAGAAGATGTCGATAGAATTGCTCGTTGGAGCAAGTTAAATGGCATGGATCTCAACGCTTCTAAATGTTCTTATATCAACTTTACGCGTAAGCATACTGCATTAGAAACCCAATACACGTTGAACAATAACCCACTTCAGAAGCTTGAATCCATTCGAGACTTAGGAATAACAATTGATGCTAAATTAATATTTAATATTCATATTGAAAATATTTGTAGATCGGCACGCAAAATGCTGGGGTTTTTATACCGGAACTCAAAATGTTTTAAAAAAATCATAACAAAAAAACTTCTTTACACTTCCTTAGTTAGAAGTAAACTAGAGTACGGGACCATCATATGGAGCCCTAATTATCAAATACACAAAGATCGTATAGAAAGCATACAAAGACGATTCACTCAATATTGTTCTAGTGGTAATCATATGGAATCCTATTCTACTCGTCTCCTAAAACTAAAATTAAGCTCACTATCGGACAGACGTAAACTACATGATTTAGTTTTTTTGTACAAGCTTACAAATGGAACCATAGATTCTGCAGAATTACTATCACAAATATTGTTTTTTTAAAGTTCCCTGCCGTGTACCGCGTTTTACGATTCCCTTACTCAATCACAAATTGTATAAAACTAATCTTGGTCATCACTCTCTTATACCGAGAATAAGCAGATTGTATAACGAATGTGTGCTTAAAGATAAGACTATTGACTTATTTAGCGATAGTATAAAAACTTTTAGAGCCAAAATTTTCAAACTATTTAATAATTCAAAGTAAAAATTCTACCATAATTTTATATAAGCTCGATATAAATTGTTATTATTTTTATAAATTTTTAATTTTCTTATTTTTCTTATTGTCTTATTGTCTTATTGTTGTTTTTTTTGTTGTTTCTTATTAGTATTTTACTCATACTTGTAATTATTATTGAGTTATCGTACACTTATCGTCTTTTTAAACACGCTTTAACTACCTTTAAATGGAAACATGTAAATCGTAGTTCCTAAGTCTATTGTCAGTTTTTATAACAAAACAACATGTTATTCCGTTGGTGGTTCTATCAATAAATAAATAAATATAACCAAGGCGGTGCTTTAAATGTAGCGGTGATATTCCGCTACAGTTAAAGCCATTACAGGCGTCTTTTTGGGTGACTTCCGTGACATTTGGCTTTTATTGTCACATATAATGACACAGTTTGATCATACGTCTAGAATAAACGTATAAAGCGGCCTTGAATGTATCGAATATTAAAGTGTTTAAAAGCACGCGAACGGTATACGTTGATAAACGGGTATTTTATGTAAAAGTATGGGCAACTGTTATTTTGTAGAAAGTGGTGCCATTAAATAAAATATGTGCTTAAAATACTTTTTGGAAATGCTTACGAACAGTATGTGTTTACTGTTGTAATTGCAGGAACAAGAAAATATTTTTATACTATATAACTTGTTTCTTAAAAAAAATTATGTAACGCTTTAAATATGTAATATTAATGCTTTTGGATGAAGATTTTTGTAAGAAATCTGCTAATCGAAAAGGCAGACGCCTATTGTATAATCTATGTCATCTGTATAATCTAATCTCATCACATAACTCGTCTTCGCAATCTAATATTACTCTTCACTTATTTGTATTGTTTCAAAATCTGACGTTATTTCTTTACTAGGCACTGGATTATTTTCAATACGAATGTAAAATAAAATTATATTGTTGAAATACTATTTTATTTTGGAAATAACTGCAAAGTAATAGTGCTGAATAAACACAAATTGTGTGCACTTTAAGTTGGGCTAGCTAAAGTGAGTGGAGAGCCGGGAAATTTAATTAGTTTTTGGTAATATCTTCATTAGCCGGCTATCCGGGAGGACCCGGGCCCGGTTAATGTGTAACGTGCGGTCTCTCGGCAAGAAGTGGCTTTGAGCCATCCACTCAGCTTCTTAATGAGCTCTCTGGCTTTAATTAAATTCAGAGGCGCCTAATCAAAGCGAAATTTCATAGCGGACCCAAAATAGTTCCTCCGTCCTCTTTCAGATACCAGAGAAGTTTTTGTCGTTTCTTTCAACTCTTTCTATTACGCTGTTTCATCTAAAATAGTTGCTGGAAATTGTAACGCTTTCGTTTTCGAAGTGCAACAAAGCTCATACTCTTACGCCATTTGGTTTGTAATTCTGATAAGAATAAATAAATAGCGTAAGTTATCAAATCAGGGAGGTGCTCGAAGCTCCTAAAATCTTCTAAAAAACTTCTCAAGTCTCGCTTCTCCGCTCCAGCTGTTTAATTTCGAACACAAATTCCCCTGAGTTCGCTGACCAAAGGCCATGGGAGCTAGTAGAGCCGGTGCAATACCGACACTCCTCTTCCCCTGATTCCTCCTCGGTAGCAGAAGGCAGGGAGATTGGCTCAGCCTTTATCACCCTCGACCTGTCCCCTGCAACCTCAGCACGCATTCACATTGGTCTTAATGAGCCCACTTGGAGCGGGTTCCTCTTAGCCTCGCCGCGGGTAACCAAGCCGCGGCTTCTAAGCTCCTCCGCCATATAAAGGCGGGAACCCCGTCAGAGGGGAAACAGTTTTGGGAAAACAAAGAGTGAGGATCACTCTTTTATATCGAAAACAACAATGATTCGGGATATGGCATCGTGTGCTTTTGTTGCAGTTGTGGCGGCGAGATGCGTGCATGGCGCCTGGCCGCGGCGCTGCTGCTGGCGGCTGGGCCCTGCCCCGCCCCTGCCCCCGCCCCCTCGCCAGAGGTCCCGAGGCCCTGCACCGCCAACGGATTGTGCCTCTGCCACGCGGACCATCTCGCGTGCGATGCAGTGCCCTTCTATAGGTTTCCAGATACAGGTACAAAATACGTCACGAACGAGCAGGTATTCATTAACTTTATTTAAAGGCGGCGACGCATCTGCAACCCTATCGGTGTTCCACCAGCCCGCATACCACGTTCTCAAACAAAAGGTCAAGACTGTTCAAGCTTCTCAAGAAGATTTAGATTACTCGGTATAAACTAACTTAAGCTTAAGCACCTATCTCCCTGCAATACCTAAGAGTGTACAATTTCTGTTGATTGTTTTTTTGTATTGGTAAAAAGGAGCAATTTATATACACATCCAGAAATACATATACTGTATAAAACAAAATGATTATTTACGCGGTTATTAAAATATTAAAATTTCGAGAACAAAATCAAACGACCAAAGCGTTAAAAATTTCAACGCTATAAAGTATTGGATACATCAATAGTTTCAAAATCAAAATGCACACAACAGGTTGATCAGCAGCAGTTTTAGGCTTTATTAAGCAAGGTGAAACATACACACGAGTAGCTCAATCGCCCCCAACCCCTATTGAAATTAAAAGACTGGATCGCTATTTAAAATAACTATTTTGTATCGGAATCAATAATTTCAGCCATCTCAGTTCGCTTCCAACCAATTTCTCACATATGGCAGAGTCGAGCGTGCGCCACGTGTCGGTGTCGCGGGCCCACTTGGGCGCGTTGGCCGGCGCGGCGCTCGATGGCCGTCGCCTGCGCACGCTGGTGCTGGTCGCCTCGAAGCTGCACCAACTCGATCCAGCCGCACTCTCGTCTGTACACTCATATTGCTCGCATCCAATCGTTTTTTATTACTATACCTACAAAAATGTTAAAGGTCGTCTTCGTTACAGGTCCATGACGTCCACGCTGGCCTCGTTGGATTTAAGTTATAATGAATTTTCACACGTCCCTATAGAGGCGATAAGAGATCTCAAAGTTTTGAACTGGCTCAATCTGCAAAAGTAAGCTTATTTAAATCATAACAAGATACACATAAAAATTATGGATTTAAGTTTATTGTAATTCTGTTTTTTGCAGCAACTTCATTGTGGACTTAGACCCGAAAATGGACTGGGGTTTCTTGGGGGATTCCCTAAGCAGTTTGTCACTAAGCAATAATCAATTAACCTTCCTTCAAGAGGGCGCCCTAACGTCGTTACGCCAGTTGGCACAACTGGAGTTGGATGGTAATAGACTCCGAGAACTGGATGCGCACGCGTTGCCATCTTCCTTGGCTCTGCTCCGATTATCCGACAATCTACTAAGCCGGGTGCCGTGCGCCGCATTGGCTCCCCTGACGCGTCTACGGCATCTTCACCTCCGCAACAATGCATTAGCTGTTTCCTTTGCCGGTAATCGGTCGTGCCGTGCCGAACGCTATCGCATCGATTCCCTTGATCTCAGTTATAATGATCTCACGGATAGCTTCGAGTTCGATTTTGCGCAAGGACTGCAACTGAAGCAGCTGGCATTAGACCTTAATGACTTTACAGCAATACCTCCTTTTGTACTGGATTGTGGAAGAATAGAGAAGCTTTCAATTTCTTACAATGACTTAACACACTTGTCGGACACTGCTATTTTGACACTTAAACGTGATTTAGAGCGTTTAGACGTGGACAACAATGAGATTACATTTCTCCCCCAGAGTATGCAAGAGCTTACTAGACTGCGGCATTTGTCCGTTGCTTACAATCGATTACGAGACGTAGAGTGGCTCCCACCACGAGTCCGTTCATTGTCTCTGGCTGGCAACTACCTCGAGGGTTTACCGGCTGCCCTCCTGACAATAGATCCTGGAACTCTTCGTTACCTTGATGTGGGCTACAATCGAATAACGTATGTGGCTCCAGAATGGTTTGGCTCATGGTCATCATCCCTCGTTACGCTAAGCTTACGGGGCAATCGCATTTCACAGCTGGCAGCCGATGCCTTCCCTGCTGGATTGCCTCTACGCGAATTAGTTCTAAGTTTTAACGACTTATATTACGTGGAAGCTAGCGCATTCGTTAACTTAACGTCCCTCCAGGTTCTTGAACTTTCGTCAACACTTTTTAGCGGTGAAGTTCCAGCTGGACCAGCTTTTCAAGGCCTGACCTGGCTCAGCTTAGACAATAATAATATTCATTTCTTTTCATCCGAAGATATGGAGTATTTCACCTCGTTAGAGTATCTCAATTTAGATTTCAATAAACTCATAGAATTCCCCAGTCAAATGCTCGAAGTTAATAGTTCCTATAGACTAAAAGAGTTAAGATTGTCCTATAATTATATATGCAGGATAAACCCGGGGTTTCTAACAAACTTGGTTGATTTACAAAGTGCTGATTTGTCGTACAATCGTATGCATAATATAAGCGAAGGAACTTTTACACATTTACTCAATTTAATCTATTTGAGCTTGGTTGGAAATGCGATTGAAATAATAGCGGACACTGCCTTTAGTCACCTACCAAAACTCGAAGTTCTTGATCTGCAGGAAAACGAATTAGTAGAATTTTCCACAAAATATTTTCATAACGTTTCTAATGAAGAAAGCAACTTCATAGTTAACGTCAGTTACAATTCAATAACGTCATTAGTAGGCGGCCCAACTGTATTCATTAATGTTTTAGACTTATCGCATAATTTAATTGAAAGTGTTTCAAGAACATTTTTTGATTCTTTAGCGGCCCACATTCGTCAAATTTTCCTATCTCATAACAAACTGATACAAATTGACAATTCTGGATTTGGATACTTACCTAAACTTGAAACACTTAACTTGCAAAATAATAATATTAGTGTAATAAGAAGAAAAACTTTCGGAGAACTCGTTTCTCTTCAAATGTTGGATTTGTCTCAAAACAAGTTGACTCAGCTATCAGTGGAACAGTTTTATAATTTGCAAAAGTTGCGTCACCTTAGGCTCAATTCCAACGAACTGCGTGCGCTTCCACGTGATTGTTTCAAGAATACCCTCTTAGAATATCTCGATCTGAGTGACAATAAGCTTACACTGTTCCCAAGTAGTGCATTGACACAAGTAGGATTCACCTTGAGGCGACTGGAGTTAGCACGTAATCAACTTGAATATCTAGATTCCGCGATGTTTCACGCCATCGCCTTCATGCACGAGCTGAATCTAGCACGTAATGCACTGACTGTTCTTCCTGACAACACGTTTTCCGGACTATCACGTCTACAGAACCTCGACCTTTCTTACAATTCTATAAAAACAAATTATAAAGAGTTATTTCACAATTTACCCCGACTGCGTCGTCTTGCGATAGCCGGAGCTGGATTCCGGTCAATACCGCATATGCCACTATTTAATCTTACTGAATTAAATCTTAGTAATAATCTTATTGCTTCATATCGAGAGATCGATGTACGCCACCTAGCAAACTTGCGAGGACTGAATCTTGCCAGGAATCGTTTTACGTCTTTACAACCAGCCATGTGGGGTGCTTTGCCACTGCTTGCCTCTCTGGATGTTTCTTATAACCCTATCGTACGTATCACTTATGGCACTTTTGACGGTCTGGAGGCATTTGCTTCATTTACGAATAGACCATCTTCGACACCTGGAAGCGGTGGAGCCGCGTGCCTTTCGCCCTCTAGTCTCGCTGCGATCTCTCTCGCTAGAGTCTCCGATGGGCAGCGGGCATGGTGACGCATCACTAGCTGATATATCATCAGCTTTACCTGGTCTGGAGTCGCTCACTATAGTTGTGCGCAAAGTGGCCTTGGATTCCCAGCTAATAGGTCTCCATGCACCCAAGCTGCGGGTATTAGAGTTACGTGGCACAGCGTTGAAGCGCGTGTCACCATATGCGTTTGAGGCCCTGAGCGGACAGCGCGCATTAACACTGCGGCTGAGTGGCACCAGCGTGAGCGTTTTACCAGCTGGGTTGGCCCGGCCACTAGCTCGGGTGCCACATCTCGGGCTGGACCTGAGTGACAATCAGCTAGTCAATTTTGGCCCTTCCACCTTGTACCCAAATCTCACCGGTTGGAATCGACTGGCGACAAAGCTTCTTCCGGGTAAGTTATATGTTATACTCGGTTTCCTTTATATAGCATTAATTTAATATTTAGGACGTGAGTTAGGGTCACGTAACATACTTTGCCTTTGCACAAATGGGCAGGTCCGTCCGGGCAAGTGCCACAATCTTACAGAAGACCGGCGTGAAGAGAGGTAACCAGGGTTCACTTTCAGTGTTCACCGCCAGCTCAATCTTCTAACGCAAAAAAAAATTGTAATTAAATGAATGAGATGTTATAGAGGAAATTTAACACGGTGTACAATTGACAGGCGGGCTTGTGCTGGTGGGGAATCCGCTGCGGTGCGGCTGTTCGGCTTCTTGGGTGGGAGCGTGGCTGCGGCGTTGGACGGCTGAGGTGGGGGGCGGGGCGAGGGGCGCCCGGGAGGCGGCGCGGCGCAGCCACTGCCAGCGGCCGGGCGCTGCGCCGCGAGCGCTGCTGGCGCTGGACGCCGACGAGGCCGAGTGCCACGCCAGCGCACTCTCCAGCAGCGCAGCGCTCTCGACAGCGCCGCAGCGTTTCTCACCACTGCTACTTTTGATAGTGCCCATACAGCTTGCATCCTCTGCCGTATTCAGCTAGTAAAAGTGATCACCCGGGACACGACGGAGATCACATATGTCTCAGTGCCGGTTAGTGATACTACTTTTATCATTTATTTAAGAAGTTCGAAGGTGTCAAAACTGTGCGAGTGTAACTAACTATTGCGTCTTCGGAACCAAAGTTCATGAATTTTTTAAACTTTTACTCAAATTGTACTAGAACTATCTTGTAGATAAAACTTATGAGTCATTCGAATGCTCCTACTGTATAAAATACGGTGATTCTTGGTTTAAATTAGACAACGAAAATTAGTTACATAATTTTTTATGACACTGTCTTATTTGGATGAGGTGAATTGTAAATAGTAAGTATATCAAAGTCATCAAACTAAGTTACTTTGAGCGACATTATACATATCATGTGATATTTTTCCCGATATTTTGTTAATGTATTAGTAGCTAGGACGTCAACTATTGAACTGAGCTTGAGCCTTCGTCTCTAATGAAAACTGCCTTTTTTGGAATTCTTATATGCATAAATGATTATTTACGCCTATGAGAATTCAAGGCAATTGCCACCCTTCTTTTGTGTATAAAAATATTAGATTTTCTGTTAAATTACGAGCGTTAAAGGAGCGATCCTTCCTTACAAAAGTAGAATGAAAAAGAATTCATAAAAAATGTGGAATGAGCTCGATTGATCTTTAAATTTCCAAGGAAGCAATATTATATGATAACTAAGCGAATCACACAACTTATCTTTCTTTAGTTGAAAGGAAACACAGCTCTTATTGTACTTGCATTGTTGTATGTGCGTTTTGTATAGGTACATACATTTCACATGGACCAACATCTAAATCCGCAAGAATCATTTGGAAACCAAACCCACGACTCCCTGCGCCGTATTTTATCAAATGAATTGTTTTCTAAATAAGATATAACCAGTACCTTCCTGCCTTTAACACTCTAACACACCTGACGCATTTAGGAAATGTTCTTATGTGAGTTCAGCTTATTCCAAAACAACAACAACGCTGACATTGTAACTATTGGAATATTCTTAACTTAAACACATAAAGAAGTGATAATCTTTAGCTAACTCTATTTCGATTGCATTATCACTACACGGACAGTTTGTAGCAGGTGTGTGTGTGTGTGTGTGTCCATATGCTTGCACTTGCCCTGTGAATTAAACTCGTGGCGTTTTTGTCATATGACTTTGTATAATCTTGTAAAGTTTTGTAAATAGTCAATTGCTATGATTATGGGAACGTAATAAATATTTTTGTAAAAATGTGTTTTTTTTATCTTTTTGAAATACCTTGTCCATATATAAGTAAGTGTAAATGAGAGCAAGTTAGAACGCACCAGTGACGCACAATTATGCCTTTTAATTATAGTTTATTCGAGAAATGTAACGAAAAATTCTGTTTTGATTCGCTATTGGCGCCACACCGCTACTAACTATACAATGGTATTCATTTGTTTAGAGACAGTGCATTTATCAAATTAAAGACTATTAGAAGCAAATGCGATCTACCCAACGATACCACCTGGACAGTCACGCCTTCTGTAAGCTTGCGCAAGCTTTATTTTAACCCTTATAAAAGGGGTCTAAAGGTGGAAATTGTCTGTTGAACTAGAGTTCAGGTGGCGTGTAAAGATACGATCTCATCGGAGTTTTTTTATTCGGAACTAATAACTCATTTATGATGGGGCCTCATGGTATCTAAAATTATCATTCCTTTTATATTGATACAGCATTCGCAGGAACAAATTATATGTTTGCGTGTATTATACCTATCAGATAAAGTCGTATAGTCACTGCAATATATGTGCGGTGGAAAACGGCAGCCTTAAGCAGGTGGAACTCGAGAATTCATCGGTGTAAGAGTTGACATAAAGTAACAGTTTAAAAAATTGTGTCCGTATTATATAAAATATTTCCAAGAATCAAAACAAAGGGACTGAATGCATTTATCCTATCATACTAAACAAGATATAGTTGGCAGTTAGGATTAACTTCAATGCAATTAGGTAATTCATATAATGATTCAAAGGGATCACAGATGTGACTGACATCGCGATTTCCTTTGATCAAATAATGTTCTCGCAAAAGCGAATCTGAACTAATTATTCAAAGGAAATCGTATTTTGAACCATCCCCGGAACGAAATTACTAGATATGGTTCTAATTAATAGAATAATTATAACTTATTTCGCCAGTTCATTCTAACGAAAGAATTTTGTCATCATAACTCGGAAAGTGTTTTGTCACATATGTTTATTAAGAAATAACGTTTTATTAAAAGTTAAACAACATTATAATTATACTACGACATGATTGCATGATGGATTCATAACACTACAACAATGTGTCATATCGGTCAATAAATAAATCTATCGACAGCTGTTTCCACCTAGTAGTCATGTGTGGAAGGTAAACTCGTGCAACGGCGGTATTAAAATTGTTCATCTTCATTACTAGTTCAGTGGTAGTACTCAACGTTAGTGTTTATTTATTTGATAATATTTCCCTATATTTGTATATAAGTCTCCACTGCTGGGCAAAGGCCTCCTCTATACAGAGGGTATCAGGGCATAGTCCACCACGCGGCTCCACTGCGGATTGACGGACTTCACATATCTTCAAAAAGTTTTTTTTTTATTATTTCGAAAATATGCAGGTTTCCTCACGATGTTTTCCTTCACCGCGGAGCACGTGATAAGTGAGCACTTAAAGTTAAAAACTTCATTGGTGCCGGCACCGGGGATCGAACGCTGGTTGCTCGAGTATATTGAATTAAAGGCGAACGCCCGGACACTGAGCTATCACGGCTCTATCTGGCTTAGCCGGTAGTAGTACCAAATAATCCTTTATATTAGGATTTTGATGTGCCAGTATATTATACTAGCTGTTGCCCGTATGCTTGCATATTTGCTTGCAAGAAACATCCATCCATACATACAAACTTTCGCCTTTATAATATTAGTAAGGATAGCTTCACAAATGGTGATGGTTCTGTGTATGGATCGATCGGATATATAATGCATGTGAACAGCATGCGAAATGTGATCAAAGATTGTTCCATGTACATGTATGCAGATGACACTTGCCTTATGTATGCGGATAGGGATATCAAAAAAGTCGAACAAGTTATACAGTTAATGATTTTGACAATATTATAAAATGGGCGCGTGACAACGGTATTATTTTAAATATTTCAAAGACAAAGTAATGTTGTATGTTAATACATTCCCCATTCAAAAATGAACCGAATCATAGTTTAAAAATTATTGGTCACACGTATAAATGCTTACATTATGGTAATATAAATTGTAAATGCAATAGTTTAGAGTTTGTTAATAGCTATAGGTATTTAAGAGTAACTATAGATTGTAAGTTTAATTGGAGTTTGCACATTAATAATGTTTGTGATAAATTAAGAATGATATTAATCAAATTTAAATATCTTAATTATGTAGTTGATAAAAAACAATGTATTTGGTATATCACACTCTTGCTGATAGTGTACTCAGTTATGGATTGATTGCATATGGCCGCACTTTTCACACATATCTAGATAACATCAAAAATTTACAAATGCGTTTAATTAAGCTTCTTGCAACTAAACGCAGTAAAAGTAAATCAGATTGTAACGGTGATTATAGGTTATTGTTTAAAAAATGTAATATATTACCAAGCCCTAGAGGAATATGATAAGTCAGAGTTTAAAAAGCTAAAACATAATAATAACTGCCTAAGAAATAAAAGCAGAAAAATTTATGTGGAGCCTATTATGTGTAATTATTATGGGATGAGGAGAAAGAGGTATTTAGTACCAAAAATATGTAATGAGATTTATTCTGAAAATGATTGTATAGGCAAGAATATCTTCAAAAGAAAGTTAAAGGCCTTTTATATAGATTATTATAATAGTACCATAACTTAGATTGTTCCAGTTTTTCTTTTTCTTTTATTTTATTTTTTCTTTTATTGCTTAGTTATTATTTTTAACTCCAGTGTACCCTATGCTAATTTTATTTTGTTATTTAAGTGACAATTATGTAAGAGTGCATTGTGTCGCCGATAAATTGTTTTCACAATTTGGCGAATAAATTTTTTTATGTTGTATTGTTCACTTAATAAATAAATAAATAAAAAAAAAATAATCCTTGATAGGTGTTGTTATTCTTTTGTGAGGATTCATTGTCTATTAAAATTAATGTTGAGGTTTTTATACAGTTCACCTGATGTATAGTGATAACCGCCACCAATTTATTCAGTACATTTAAAGTGTTATTATAGAAATATGTTCTGTTGCGCCGGCACATCGTTTGTTATGTATATTATAATTATAATTTTTAGTATATTATAATTTTTTTGCTTTAATTATTAAGCAGGAATTATGGATAATATGCCAAATACTTAGCAGTTACATAAAAATAAATCAATTTTTATATTAACGAAAAACAAAACTGGCTTTAATTATCTCGCTCTGTATTCATTTTATAATTGATTTTCGAGAGTTCCAATGACATTAATATGAGACCTCATTTGAGGCACCAGCTTTAAAATAAAAAAGTAATCATCAAAATCTGTTCACTCAGTCTTGGTTCTGAGGTAACAAAAGAACCTCCTCAGTTTTTGAAGTCGGTTAAAAAGTAGAAAGACAATGTCAGTCGATGTTATCTTTTAAAAAATGAAATTGCTTTCTTCACCGTTTTAAAATAAAATTACAAAGGTCCATTTAAATTATTTATGTTTGACAAAACATGCGCCAGTGACCGCGGTCGGAGCAAAAGCATTACAAGAGTTGGCTCAGATTTAATTACCGTTAATTGTAGACAAATGAGCGCTGTGCCGCTGTTTAAGTTGCCTGACCTCGGAATGACTTTGTACGTACTTTAATATTACTTTTTTTAATATTTGTTACCAACATTGTTCTGTAATAAAATGAAATAATTTCGAGCCTCCAAAGTAATCGAAGGTTGTTTCGCATCACCTTCCATCGAAGCGTATTTTTCTCGCCCGAG